GTTACATTGACTAGTTTGAAAATTGAACTGAAAATTTTATATGCATTTTTCTTCCAACTTACACACTTAAAAATACAATTTGTGATGAGATTTAACTAATGTCAAGAAGTCAGACCCTGGTCTTCAGTATAGTGATTTAATCTGCATTTTGATTTTGTAGGCTAGAGCACAAAAGAGACGATAGCCAGTGGTGTAATAATATCAGAGTGCTAAAGCATTAAGCTCTTGTTGCACATTAGTGGCTGAATTGCTGTACGAGTTGCACATTGAAGGAGAAATTTTGACTTAAATGTCACAAATAAGTACAATGCTTTATCTTTTTCTACAGATTTAAAATCTTTTTTAGGGAAGGAAGGACACTTAACTCCCAATATTCTCTGCTTGACACCAGAGGGAGTGGAGGCACTGTTGTGACAACTGTGTTACTCACAGATTAACATGACCGGTGCCACAGATATTAGGACTACACAGCCTAATGAAGCGCGCATTCAAAATCTGTATCTGGGTGGGGCAACTCAATACTGTTTACTCAAAACTACCCGCTGACCTACTCTGTGTGTGAGGTGGTTGTTTCTAAAGCTGTTTTCAGTCACAAACTCTGGAAATTATCTGGAAAAATGGGTCCGGACAGTTTCTGGAGTTCACCTCCCACATGTGAAGAATGTAGCAGGAGGTCGTCTGTGTCAGATGCGTTTACAACAACATGAAACCTTCAGGAACATTCAGGCGAGGAGTGGCACCTGAGTAGAGCATAGGAGGCAGAACTAGACATATACCCTTTATTGAATCTCATCGTCTTGTCAGGTCGACATCTTTCACTGCGTCTTCTACGTGTATGGCTCATTTTTTTCATCCTGACAAATTTGTATTCTTCCATTTTCACGTCAGAGTTCATGTTAGGAACGTCATGAACACGCCCACTCGCTGGCTGTCAATTTTACAGACTGATTTTTCATGAAGAGGCAAAAGTTTCAGACATTTGCTTTCTCACATAAAGCCCCACTGGAAAATTTCAGGTATGAGATAAACAAAGATCACGCTGTGTTAACAAAGTGACTGAAGTGCTAAAGAGGTTTTTGATAACATATAATCATGAACACACTTGTGTACACACAATCCCATCATATTTGACAGCAGAGCAAATAATGTTCATAGAGATGTGCGGTCGAACCCTCCATTATCCGTGGAGCCAGCCACTCTCTTACCAACGTGCACCTGGAGGTTAATAAAAAAAGCTTTTCATGCTAAGTGAGGCCTGCCATCAAAGAACAGCTGCCTGAAAACAGACCACCAGGCCATCATGACAGGGGGAAAACCACATAAAAGATATCATGTGATGTTGACTTTGAAAGCGAGACCATGTGTACTGTATCTTAAAAAAAAATAGTCAAGGAATGTCAGCAACATATGGGGCAGAACCAGTCAACACAATCTGATCTTTCAGAGGCGAGGGAGAGTGGAAGTACCTGATCTGTTATACTGTACCATGGAGCTATTCACCGGATAATCTAAGTCATGCACTGTTGGTTAGACATCGTCAGGGTGTGACAGACGGCCTTTTTATAAACTGTCCAAGACTTCAGGATACTTACCATCATTTACTTGTTCTTGGCCATTCTCACCCTATGAGGAAAACATGAGACAAGAATATCAGATATCCTTATTGAACAAAATGACATTTTCACCTGCACATACAAGAAAAAAGACCCCTTCTGTATTTCCTCTATATAAATCCCACTGCATCTACTTTAAGATGACACAATGGCAGGCAGACTCTGGAAAATGTTATTAAAACTGCCAGTGCTGCCAGATATAACAGATCCTCGGCTAAGTTGTCTTGGTCTACGAGGAAGTGCTGTTATTCATGATGCTAAACCAAGAGAAGAGGATCATTCTTACAAAACACCATCCAGAAGTTCATTAATCAAATAAAAACTTCTTGGGACAGCCAGTGAATTACTTCTAAGCTTTCTGATTTTTAAGATATGACATATTTTTAAAAGATAAAGCGAGTCTTTGTTTGACTAACATCCTGTTTCATTCATACTTCCTTCAAATTTCTAAACTTGAACATTTAGCCCATGTCTTCAAGCGAGGACTGGCTCATTTCCAGAATAAAAATTAAACCTCTACTGGGATTACAAATGTCAGTGGAGAATATCTATCGAAATAACATCCTGGGTCTGTTTCAAATGGATGGATAAAGCTCCTCCATCCACCACTGAATTTTCCACTGAACTGTTCAGAATTATACTTAATCTACGACCATGTGCTTCTCAGCCCTAAACTAGGCTACGGATCTGTTGTGGAAAAAGTGTCATTCTAAATGAGAGGTACCTCTCGTATCTGGTTCCACACCAAGGCTGCACCAGAGTTGTGGATGGTGGTCAGTTCCGGTTGAGGGTTCTTGGGGAACAAGAGAGGCTGCTGGCACCGCCTCAATGGGGCTGAGGGCTCCCCGCACAGGGTCCCTGCTGCTGCCCCAGCTGGGAAAGGAAGAGACGGATGAATTTAGCAAACACTTTATTAAAAGAAATGGCATTAAAACATCAGCTGTCACTAGATTATATTAAAGCCAGACAGGAAACACAAGAGACAAATGATAAAACATGAGTCAGGTTTCAGAGCAGCAGAGTCACACCATTAGGACAGTAATCCAATTATTCACAAAACCACCCCAGTCTCAGATTTTTATAACCCGCGCTCACCACCACCACCACAAGATTCATCTTGTTAGATTTGACTAAACATCAGCTTTTTGGGAGACTTTTACTGAAATAACATGAGACAAAATCACAGAGCATCAAGAGGAAACATCACCAAATCCGCTCGGGCGTCTGAAACAGACCCAGAAACACGGTGGAACACTTCCAGGCAGACAACCTGAATGCCAAATCTCTCATAACCCTGCAACGCACGCAGGCTCCTTTAGCAGAAAGAGCATTAAAACCCTGCGTTTGGCCCATTGTGGGGAGGCAGGCTGCGCTAACCAATGCCACATAAGGTAACAACCCAGCTCTATCCCCAGAGGGCCAGGGTGGGGACAGACCGTCTTTGTCATGAGGGAGAACAACGACTGCTGAAGAAGCAGAGGAGTGGCCATTGTTGTTAATGGAGTGAAGTGAATCAGAGAGCAAACAAGAGCTCCTTCACTGCAGAGTCCACATCAATTCAATGGACAGTGAACAACAAACAGCAAATGGAAGGAGATTAAAGTAGATTGATGGGCTGGACAGTGATGCATTATGTTATCATCACTGTAACACATAGCCATCTACTTAATCTTATAGATCTCCTGGGTCCATCGTATAAATGTACCAAATCACTGGTGCACAAGCTTTGAGACAGGAACAGCCGTCGTGCTGCTGCTGGTAGTTTTGGCCTCCTCTCGTATTACTCTGCTCATCATGTGGCCAGAGTCTGAGGGCAGTTCAACAAGCCCAACAGCTCTGGTATCTTAAAATCCTAAAATCCAGACCCACAACCTGCCAGAGACTCTGGCTGAATAACAATATGCTTATGTGTATTCATAAGCAGCATATCAGCACATTCCTGCAGTCAAACTGCTTTTTAAACAGTTACGTAAACCATTAGGTTGTGTATATATATATATTTTTTAAAACTTTCTCCATTACTCGTGCTTTACTCAGATTGTGAGATTTCTTTTCCCCAGTACAGTTAAGGTGAATAAAAATGTGATTGATCCAAACAAAAACATTTAAAGATGACAATTGGAAAAACGAAATGTTGTCCTGGTCGCTCTGGATGATCCACAGACCTTGCTTTTAAACACTTTTATTGGAAGTACTTACAAAGCAGAAATAGGGCCAAAGAAAACGTAGTCTATCCAGACTAAACAGGACATTGTTTTGACATTGTCTGAAGCTGTCAGGAGAAGAATTTTGTGACTGTAAAAAAAGCTACAATAAAAGTTGTGCTTACAGGTTGACCCAATTTTTTTCCCCCTCAGACCTTCAGTGATCATGAACAGCAGGGCTGTCTGGTGCTGTACTATGTAAAAATCATTTAGTTTGAACCCCTCCTTCCTGCATTTCCTGTGACTTTAATATCAGGAAAAAACAAAGTACAAAAGAGTGTTTTCCAGACTGTTGACGAACCTGTGCTATTATAACAACGCTAATTGCTGTTCCAAAGGGTAAAGAATGAGAACATACTATAAATAAGGATTCACTGGTCATTTAGAAGTGATCTAGACAAGACAGCATGCCAGAGCAAACAAACCTGTCCATCTGCACAAGGAGTTCATACCCAGGCCAGAGTGATCGCATCGAATACCTTTAAAACCTGCTAATGCAATAAAGCATTTCTCATTCAGGCAAACATCCTCATCCAGCTGCACTTTTTAAAGTGGGACAAATGAACTTGACCTAGACCCAACTGAGACAATGCAAACAGGAAAAGACTTTACTGTGAGCAGCTGCTGGCTGCGGTGGTCAGTGGCTTAAGTGATGATGTTAGGGTTAATTCCTCATTGTCCACACACACACAGAAAGTTTAATTCACCATGTGATCAGTTTTCTACTGAAGTGGCAACTGTGCAAACACAAGCTCCAACACGGCTTCACAGGCGGCTTCACAATCCTGAGCTGAAAATGAATCCTACTTCGGTTAAGGCTTGAATTTTCCTCTTCATGAACATACTAAATGGTGAATTATGTTATGCTAAAGGTTTATCTGGATCATTATAAAGATAGTGGCAGGGATAATAATGTCAGCCTATATTAATTTTTCATTTAAGCCTCTTGTGGCTGTATGCTCGCTGTGACCTTGACAACTCAAAGCCATTTGCAGGTCTCATATCCCTCGCTGCTGCATTCTTATGCCTCTCCTCATGTCTTCAAAATAAAACTTCACTCGTGTCTATAGATAGCCACACATTTCACCAATAGACACATTTTATCTGACCTATTTCTTTCCAATGAGGGTGGATCCTCATCCCAATGTAACAAAGCCTAGCTTCAAATTACCCGTATGCCGCTGCTCCAAGGCTTTTTGGCCTTTACACTTGTGGGATGTTCTTTCTGACAGCCTAAATGGAAAAATACTAAATAACACTTCAGCTTGTGTGTTTTCCTAGCTCTAGTTAAAGGAATTAATTCCATGGGACTTTTTGCTTACTTAAGGCTTCTGGTGGTTCTGCCTACTTTTGCAAGATTGAACTTGCAAGCGCTTAGAAAACCTCCTCGTTGCAGAACTTAAACCAAGACAAATGTTGCCTTGTAAGTAAAAACTGTTGTTTTCATTCATTTGCCTCTGATGTTATCACATGGGAAAATGAAATAAGCTAAGTTAGAGAGATATTAGACGGAATTACTTGGTGGGTTGTTCCTCCGATGAGCATGGGGGTCCTCAGGCTCTCCAAAGATGCTAGAGGCCATCTTGTTCTTGCGCTGGGGGGTCGTGTTTTCATCTGTGCCGAAAGTGAAGCTCGTTTCCCCACCTGGCGGTCGTAGTACCCTGTGGAGCAAGAAATTATAAAAATATAATGTCTATTGGCTACCATGCTCCCATCCCCCCACTCTTTAGACCAATTTAAAATTCAAGGCCTTCATGTCACACACCAATGATCAGCTTCACAGTGCACACATAAAATACAAATCTATAAAACAAAACAAAACATGGGGTCACCCAAAGCTACTTACAGTAGTCTCCCTGCTCCACCCAAACCCTTTCAAACACATTCCACATACATGAAAAACACAGGCCACCAGCAAGGTCCACGCTCTCTAAGCTCCGGCTGTCAGCCTGTCAGACAGACAGTCACAATCTCTGCCCTGCAGCTGACTCCAGTCGCATATAATCACAGCGTTAGCTGGCTAGCTGCTGCCTCTCCTCAGCACAAATTCCTTTGCAGTGACACACTAGGGGCTGGTGTCAGTTCCTGGTAGCATTGTTATCAAATTATTTGTTAAGTAAATACAATTTAATGTCACTTTTGGGTCAAATGCTAGACAATAGAGGTGAAAAGCCTGAGGTCCACAATTAATTTAGGTCACCCAATAAACAAAGTCGAACAATATCAGAGAGCCTGCATGCAGGCCAGTGTGTGGTTAACAATGACCACTACCCATCAACATTCCTTCCACGAGAAGCTCAACAAAAGGAAAACCATAATGAGGAGGGAAACCCTTTTTTCCCCTGTGCTGAAGGACAGTCGGGTGGACGAGAGAAACTGATTTGTTTGCAGAGCCCCTGCTGGACCCCTCCCTCTTTTTTTCCAGCACACTCTCCTCAGAGTCCCTGAAGCCACCAGCTGACACACAAGCAGCTGTCTGAGGGCCAGGCGGACATATGGAGTCCAAAAAACAACTCGGCTTTGGAGGCACAACCACAAAGAAGGCAACTACAGGAGGAAAATCGACACCACGTGGACTGCTCCGAATTTTCTCAATCAATCCCTGTACACACACACACTCACCCACACTAGTGTATGTGACACTTGTGATGTGACAGTAATGCCTAAACCAGACTTCACCTCCCGGCCAGAGGGGATGAGCTCATGCTTTCCACCCGGATTGCGACAGGGGGAAAAGCTCCTAGCTGCCTGGCATGAGACCCCACCCTAGAATGACACAGCAAGTAATATCAATGAAATGGCATCAATGTCTAGAGGCGCAGAAGGCCGCTTCAGGCAAGTGGAGCCAGGGCAGATAAAGCTGAGCTCCAGAGCCAAAGATGGCATGTCTGATAAGGCAGGGTGGGATGGATTTTGATGGCCTACAAAGATTTCAGCCTGATTCTGCTCCAAGTGGCTGCTGCTGCTGCTGCTGCTGCTGCAGATGCAGCACGGATCCCTTTGGTCAGCCAGCAGCAGAAATGACCAGCAGCTCGTATAGGGGGGGGGGTTAAGGAGCAAAAGCAAAGAGCTAAGGGAAGATTTATGAGCTTAGCTAGGTCAAAGCCCCCACCCAAGCCCCCATCATCATCCGCAAACACCAAGCGACTTCAAAACGCTTGATGGCTGACCGAGATTTGACATGCACATTCAGCAAAGGCTCTGAGGACTAGGCTCCCCTTCAAGTCTGGTTCAGAAACACTAATGCTGGCATCATTTAAAGCCATTTTCTCTCCTTTTGCATTGTTTTCAATGCACAGTGGGGAGGAATACACCCAGACGAGACGCATCACTTACTGGAAAGCTATGACTGCATGCCTGGAGGATGAGTGGGCTTCTCGGTGTGTTTTTCCACCAATATAAAGCTTTAACAGATACTGTGCATGCATCAGATTTAGCTATTAAAAACATGGACATAATCCAAGGTCCTTCAGATTTTCTCCAGCCAAGAAGGAAATCAGACATAATGACATATGCAGAGCCTCAGTCTGGTCTGGGATTCTTCCTGTAATCAATCATATATTCGGACTCATGAGCAGTTTCTTTGTTGAAGGAACACAGAAGCACAACATGATTAAAACCAACTACACCCTGAATCACATTTAGAGATCACAACAGGAAGTAAGCTGTGACTGGAACTGCAAAAAAAAAGTTATAATGCAGAGGGCCTAAGTCAGAGTCGAGCTCGCATTATGCAGCTTTTTTAACCAAAAATAGACCCAAACTACATCTTCAGGCGCCTGAATTCTGTCTTTTCTCTCTTAACCTCGCTCGTCCTCTCGTCCTGCGGAGCTCAGACAGGTTAACGAAACTAACTTGGCCAAGCTAAAGGCTGTGGCGCATCGGTCTCCCAATAAGATTAACTTAATTAGCAAGACTATGTGACAGTTTAGCTAAATCCACAAAGATCCCCTCTCCAGCCACCGGCGGGCTAATGTTAGTTAGCTGCCTCCGAATCCAAACCAGTTGGAAAAGAGGCGTTTAGCTAGCAGCTAAGAGGCTCCTCCGCATCCCACTTCTTTTGTTTCCCTCCGTCAAACAGCTCCGTTTCTTTCTGCTTTTTACCTGGAACTGCTCTTAGCACCGGGCTCCATTCCTTTGTAGGTGGTTGTCGTCGTCATCTTCAGGAAGAACCTCGATGTCTCGGCGGCGACAAACGTTCAGCGGAGGGGAAAGTAACGGCGGCAGCACAGGGGAAATGTCCTCCTCCTTTCCCGCAGAGATGCGACGAGATGTCGGCTCCACCCGTCAGTGAAAAACATAACGACTCCCAGATCCGCTGGTTCTGCGGTGCCAGCCCACCAGGCCCAGCCCACCGGCGTCCGGCCCGCGCTGATTGGACGGGACGCCGCAGAACTCCGCTCTCATTGGACAGAACCTCTGCGATCGCCCTTCTCTTGTTGGTGAGTCCAGACCCCTCGGGGGCCACAGGTCCGACTTCTGAGTATCGATCATGACTGTGTTCAAATCCTTCGAATGATCAGAGGAAACGTGGGTGAACAGCTGGAACTTAGAGGTCCAGAGTGTGAGATTTAGGTGAGAGGGATCTACTGACCCAAACTGTAAAATAATCAATGTTTTCTCTTGTTGTATAACGACTGGTGTTCAGTATCAGTAGAGGTTATTCTTGCAGACTGTATCAGAATCAGAATCAGAAAAGCTTTTATTGCCAAGTAAGTTTACACATTTGTTTTGGTGTTGTTGGTGCATGTCAGACATCTCTAAATATAAGAAGGTAAGAAAATCAAGTATTACAATTCAACAATATAAATATAAAAATATAGACACAGTATGTTTTTGAAGGTAAAAAGGAAAAATAAGAAGAGCAGTACAGCTATATAGTTGCTAGTCTCTTTTGCACATCACTGTATCACTTACTACTTGCACTGTTTTATCACTTTATCGCTGTAACACTGTTTTATGTTTTTATGTTCTTAAGCTTCTTGATTACTGAAACCTTCAATTAGTCTCCTCTGTTTTAACTTTAACTAAGAATTGTTCTTATTACACATGTCTGTACTGCTGGAACACCCTAGAATGGACCTTTATATTTAAATACTTTATATCTACATCTGGAGGTCTCCATGTTTTTATCAGGTCGCCTCAACTGGACAAACACATTTTGAGTTTTTATGACAACTGAAGCCACCACAGGTTCTCTGTCATGTTGGGAAGGGGAGGGGTATTCAGCTGCAACATGCAACCTCACCACTAGATATCACTAAATTCTACAAACTGAACCTTTAATCTAGGAAAGTTTGGGGATAAATAAAAGTATAGATGAGTTGATGGAAGAATGTGATAACAACATTTAATGTCTCATGGCTAATCATGAGTAAAAAACTGTGCATTCCAGCCATTAAAGTCTTCAGTGGGACAAGTATGTTTTTACTGATTATATGATTCCAAGATCCCTCAGGGGCCAAATGTCCAGTCAGTCCAATATCTAAATGTTGATTATGACAATGTTCAAATCGGTTCAAAGGATAAAGAAAAACGTCCCTCATATTTTCAATTTAAAAGTTATAAATACAAATCCTTTCATCACTGAAATACTATTTTTAATTAATGTGCAATGCAGGCTTCAAGTTTCCACATGAAACTTGTTGGCATAATTAAACTAGGATTTAAACTTTGAGCACAGAGAAGCTTCTGTCTTGCAGTTTTAAACTATGAGCAAACTGCACATCACTCTGCACAATAAAGGTCAAACATCCAAGATGAAAAACAAAACCAAACCACATTTTTGTACACTTGTAGTTCTTCAGATGTCTTAAATTGGTTGCATTTCTGCCCAGAAGAGGTTCAGACATTACAATCCAGTGCCAGAGAGAAAAAAACAGAGAAAGTTTGGAAAAAGACAAAAGCTTTATTTTAACAGGCATCTGAACAGACAAGACAGATGTTTATGAACTGAAACATCTCTTCAGGATTCCCAGGACTTGAAGCTTAGCCAAGTCAAATGATTAATCAAAACTTTTCTCTACACATCAGCTACTATATAAAAATGTATAAAATCAAATATTTTTTTCTGAAGAGGACAGAAACCAAATGATAATCCAGCCCCATTCCCAAACTGGACATTAATGTTCACTAAGTGATAGCTGGTGCCCAAATAGAACACTGTAAGAACAGATTTGCTGGATTCTGACCTAGCATAGCCCATCCACATTTGAACAGTAAAGTTAGTTTAGTTAACCCTCACCCCATCACCAGTCCTATCTGTCTGCAAACCTGGAAACGAGCTGTTCAACCTGCCAGATGATGTCGTTGACATTTACCACGATACAGCATGAACAAACAAAACCCGAACTCAGCGCGCCCTGGATGTAGTTTATGTACAAAACAGAAATGGAACGGAAGTAAGAATGAAAATACTATACAGCAGTTACGTGTGGCAGAGAAATTACAAGTTCATCTGAGTGGAATTCTGTCACGACAACGGGACATGTCGTGAAGAAGCAGACGTATGAGGGTTGGTTGTGTTGAGGAGGGAAATGGTGCAAAACGTGGTCCATTAAATCAGGCCTCCCGTCTGTTGTTGAAACACGTCAATTGTATCTTCGTCTTCCATTTCCAACTGTTGAGGGAAAATAAGAAATTCAAACATGTGAAACACTAAACACGAAATCTATAGTAGAGCGACAGAAGAGGGTAGAGCACCTGTCACTTTAAGATGATAGAGTAATATGCTAACATGCTACTGGAATTATCAACAATTATTATACACTAATTATTAGTTATTATACCTTAACTGAATTTATTCCAAAAGTTAACGGTTTGACACTGTTACGTATGAACACAATATTTTTCGATGTTTATTGAATTGTTTTGTCCTGTTTATGCACAAACAACTAAAAAGTTTTAAATTATGTTTTTCTTTCACAAGGAAAATTTAAACACCATTTTAAAATGTAAAAACTTGTTTGTCTTTTGAATAGGAAAATGGCAGCGGAAATCAAAACACTGCATTCATCTTTGACAATCGCAGCCTTCATGGACAGGCGTGCACAACATTTCAGTAATGTGCAATTTGTGTCATCTCCAACTTTGAATTGCAGCGAGTGCATTGGCCTCATCCTACAGTGTCATATTCCACACAGGTTCGAGAAAACACCCAGTGAAATTGAGTTTGGAGTTCACTGACCGCCTGAGACATCTACATGCTCCCCATGGTAACATGCCTTAACCTCAGCCAATATTTTCATGAGCATCCCCATGAAAGGGGGCAGAAAAAGTTGCATGGAATATGCATGCCTTACTGATTAAGTATGGCACAAAAACATCTGCATGAAACATGTTTGAGGGCAACATCGTGTCCTGTGAATTTACATTTTGTAAGCACACTCTTCTTTTCAGTAGCTAAACTCATTGTTTCAATAGTTCCAACTCACCTGTGATGGTGTGTCTGTCTCATTTATTGGTTGTCCATCGAATCTGAACCTGATGTGCCTCATCGAGACTCCCTGGACAGACATAGACATAAAAACTTTTTAGTGAAGTAGAGGAAGAAACCATTTCCTTCACCCCTTCCCATGACTTGTATAACAGGCAGAACTAACAAGGTAACTTTTACCAGTAAAGTGAACATTTAACAGCCCAACAAAAATGCACACAGTGAAATCCTAAGTAGAATGTCAGGGGAAGGCTTCCTGATTTACTAAAGATTCTCAAATGGTGTCAGGGCCCACTAACAAATGATATGTGGTAGTGACAGTGACAATAAAAGTAGAATGATTCCATCATAAAAACAGAGATTAATTGTGAGGGCCACACATAACCACACTGAGTGTTGGTTTTAGCTTTTGGTTGGTCCAAACAATGGATGGGTCTTAAAAGGGTAACTACAATTAATAAAAATACTTGGTTATAAAGTTACAAAAAAAGATATAGATTTTAAAAAGATACCCAAATAGAAAATAACATGTTTTGGGCAATTGAAAGAAAAAAAATTGTATTTATATTTTAACAGAATAATTAGACAAAAAGAAAAAGTTGTAAAATTAATTTTGGTATGGATTTGTTCCTCACAATTATCCATGGACACAGCACCAGCAGAGCTTTTCATGGACAGTAAAGAGCAGTACTTTAAAGCACATTGCCTTGTTTAAGGTGTGTCCTCTTAAAATTTGAGGGTCAAAGAAACATAAGTTATACTGTCTCCTGTGGTGAAACACAAATGATGAAAGACATCTGGTTTTCACTGTAGTTTAAAAAATGAGCTGCATGACAAACATGACTTTTTTTTACCTCCCTGCAGTCCAAGGAATAGACAATGTTTGAATTAGATTTTAAGTTGAACATTCATTTGATTTTCAAAGGTTGTGTTTTATTACATATTTTTCAATGTATTCCTCTTTACACCAAAATTAGCAGGTATACACAGGTTTTGTTAAAAAGCAGATAAAAAGGCGGTTGACTCTTTTCCCATTGCCAGTAGAGGACTTAGCCTTTTTGTTTTTTTAACCTGGTGAGTCATGTTTGACGTCACCAACACATCAGGAAATCTTGCTGTCTTGCCAGCATTGCATCTTGCATGATACAAAGAAAAAATATCAGTTGGACGTTGATCCTAAGATGTTCAAGCTCATGGCTATTTACACGCCAACGCCCAGATGTTCAAACATGTTGTGCGGAAAAAGTCCAGCATCAGTGTCTACACTGCCAAAATGAAGAAGAAATTAGCGTTTTTACCCGGTGTCATATTTCAATGCCCTTTTGCCCTAATTAGACTATGTTTTTGGCTGAGGTTCATTTTGCATTATTTAAAAAGCTTTAAAACCAAGGCTCTAATAACCAGTCACCGAATGCATGTTTGATGGGTGTGAAAGGCTGAAAGTGAGCACTTAGCATAGTCTATCATCGTCTTGGAACAACGTTTAAGATATGCATCCTTCTAAGGTCCTGCTCCGAACCATAAAGTAATCCAAATAATTATTCTCATACGATGTTAATGTAACATAACTTGGCAACAAGTCTTGCTTTTCAGGTTGAAGGAGCCTACCTGAGTAAATGTTGTTCTTTGATAAATATTAAGTCCTGCGAGGTCACTGCTATATCAAAACATATTCCAATCTAACATGCCTGGTTTTTTTCAGCAGACATTTTTAACATGTAATAGACTTTCAACGCATCTCACTCAACATATTGCTTTTTAAGTCTAAGACAGTATGCAAGATGATGTATTATGTGACTTGGATGTTATAGTGGAGGCGTTTGTAGCCGACCTGAAGCAAGGTGACAAAATTCCTATTGAATAAAATGAAAAAACCATAAATGGACAAATGGGACTGCTAATAAACAAACTGGACCTTTCT